CTATGATTTAATAGATGAATAAGTGAAATTCTAATAGTAGACATATATCCTAGAGAAAGTTTTGCAGGTGTGAAAGATGTCTTATATATAGATTGTTCATAGTAGCATTATTAGTAATAGCAAAATCTGAAAAATATCAAAGTATTCTTCAATGGGAAATGTCTAAATATATTGCATGATACAAGCACATATATGCTGGGCAATGGCAAATCTTATTGAATTAAATATACATGCATAAATATGAATAAATATCACAAAGATTGTATTCAGTGGAAAAGATGATGAAGAAAATATACAGTATAACGTTTATCCAAATTTCAAACACTTATAAAATACCACACAAAAACATATATATGTAACACAATTGTTAATATAAGCAAAAGCAAAATAGTGGTGAATAAGCTTCAGAATAATTTTACCCTTGAAGGTGGAGACAGATTAGGGAGGAACTCACAAGCAGCTTCACCCATTTCTTAATCATGTAGGTTGACACATAATCAACTTTAAAAATATTTGTGATGTTATTTAAAATTCATATTTATTTTTAAAAGAATAAATGATTTTTTTTACTTTTATTTACTTGTATTCAGTTATTTAACATATTATGAGCATATTATGTATAAAGCTCTGTGCTAAATTCTTTGAAAGCAGAGCTGAGTGAGACACATCCCTTCTTTCATTGAAGTTACTATTCAGGAGTTTAAAGAGAAGGCAAAATGTTTCCATCTTCACAGATAAGTGCACAGGTAGCTTGCTGCCACTCTTCCCTCCAATACTACAGCAGACAGCACTAAGCAACTAGAGTGATCTTCACTTTGACCCTGACTATAAGCACAAATTTTTAACACAATACTTCAGGCAGCTATTACTAATTGATTAGAGTTGACACTCAATTTTGAATGTGTATTCTCCTAGCTCTTTCACACTTACAGAATTTCAAAATGTATCATTTCCACATTTTGATGTAAAAGCATTGATGTGCATGAAGTGCAAGGTGAAAAATAGTTTACAATAATCATTTAGTTATTTTTCTTTAACAACACTATTTTTCCCACTACATTTGGAGTTTGGTAGAAGGCTTTGTAAAAAATGTAATTATTTTTGAGGCACTAAAATCCTATTTGAGAAAGCCCACCGTTGAAATAGAAACAACCACAATATAAAAAACATCTGCAGACAAGATTTTATTTATAATTGGGGAATTAGATTTCTATACATGTTTAATAAACCATTTTCACAATGAATCTTGTCTGAGGAATTTTTATAATATGTGCCTTAATTCATTTGACTCACACCTCAAAATATAAAGCATCATATCACAGTCTAAATGCAAGTAAAAACAATAATGAGACGTGCTTGATACATTTTTAATACAACAGAAAACATTGCACTTTGTTATTTTTATAGGTACATTGGCAGGATTCATTCAGGAGTTGGATTTAGAATGTTAGAGAAGTAAAGATTGGCTTTATGGTTTGGAGCTAAAAAGCATTGAATGAATAGTGAGTAATTTATTTTAAATTTGTATATGTACTTCCAAAGTCTGTGTTCTCCAATACCACGGTATTCAAAATGTTAATACTCAATAATGTTAACGAGAGCACACATATTTTTACTACACCTCCCAAATGTACTATTTTGACAGTGATAATAGATTCATATTTGACTTTTTAATATCTGAGTTCTCTTAGTAGTTCACAAATTTAAAAGTTTTGAAGTCAGCCAACCCTACAAGTTATACCATGTTGTTTTATTAGCTTTGCCATCAAACCTCAATTTTCTTATTTGGAAAAAGGGGATGATATCTCTGCCTCAAAGGTTCTTTTTTGTTTTGTTTTGTTTTGTTTTGTTTTGTTTTGTTTTGTTTTAGAACTGATTGGATACTTCATACCAATAACATATCACAGTTCCCAGTAAATAATACAAAGTGTAATACTCGCTAATTTTCTCTGATTGCATGTTTGGTATTATTATATTAACTTAATCATCAGGAAACTGGGGTTCAGAGAGTTTACATAATGTTCACAATAATACCTAGCACCTAGCAGTATATGGCAGAGCCACAATGGAGCTTTCTCCGTATCAAAGTCCTACTCCATAATCTATGTTTCATCCATTATACCACTTCACTTCCAAAGTTGATTGCACCGTAAGCAGATTGATAAACACCTTTGATTAAGTCTCAGTACATACCTATCATGTGCTAACTTTTAAAATCCAGAAACATAAAGTATTTTTTTTACTCATTTCCTTTTGCAGGTAAAGACAATCAGAAAAGGACTAATAACAATTGCACACAATATAAAGCATTAGCAAAGTACCAGTAAAAATCATTTCCATAAATAAAGACTAGTATAGATTATCGCAGTACACAAAATGGATGACTCATCAATTTCCTCATTATGAATGTCCTTCAGAAATGCCACATTCATCTTATTCATGCTTAGAGAAAATGTGCATAATCATAAAAGATTTGAGTTTTTAATTCTGAATTCATGCATCACCACTTTTTATTTGTGTTGAAGAACAGCTTACATAATACATTTAAATGTTCTATCTTGACACATCAAACTAAAGAAACTGGTAAAAATATTGCCTTTTAATAAACTATCAAGAATGTTGTGTGTGTTTTAATTATTTAGGACTTGTTAGTGACCATAATCAAGTCTATATTGTTATACTCTGTGTAAGAAGAGCACAAAATTAAGATGATTATTCACAGAATTCAGAAAAAGCAGGATTGATTTTCAAAACTATTGAGAGAATTTCAGGGAAAACTAGAACTGATTTGACATATAAATATGGTCAAAATACAAGGAGTAATAAAATTTAAGAAGCCGATAAGTGTTATTCAGTTAACAAACAAAATTAAATATTCTTTTTTATTGTTTTGATAACATTTGTAATCATAACAAATGTAATGATAACGAATGAGAATATATATCAATCATTAACACTGATTGCCATGCATTGCATTTTGTCTTTTTTTGTTGTTGCTGTAAAAGTCTGTGGTAAATTAAAAATACAATTAGAAATTAGAAAATTAGAAATCAATTTTCATCTGGAAATAGGGGAAAATCAAGTTTCTAAATTAAGGACTCTACTCTAGCACTTGAAATTTAATTGTTATCTTGACAGACTTTGATTCAAAATTAATTAGATTGGACTGTATCAAAGTTAATAATTAAATTAACTTAAATGTGAGATATTCTAAAGTAACATTTTAGGTCTTTTTCTCATTAAAAAGGAATGATTTAAACTCCAATAAGGTATTATATCTTCTCTTAATAGAGCAAATTTACCTTTGAAGGAGGAATCTTTCTTTATCTGAAAGTTACTCATAGTATTCAAAATATCCTTAAATATTTGTGGGGTGTTTTTTTTATGGTCAATATTTCATAATAAAAATATTTATGATAAAAATTATCTAACTCTATAAAGGAAAGAGGGTAAATGGGAACTTGCAATATAGACATAAAATTAAAACTAAAAGGTAGCTATACTTTATTACAAACCCCAGAACAAACCACATCTGAAAATAAGGTATAGAGGGAAAGACCTCTGATTTTCCCAGACAATGCTACGTATCGTGGACATTTGGTAGTTTCAACTGAGTACCATACTGCCTTAATTTGTAGGGATACCAAAAGTTATAATGCTTCATATTTTCCCAATTACCCAGTGAATTTAAAATACACCAGTGACTCTTTGTTACAAATGAGTACTATTTTTCTGGAGGATATGATGAGTAAATGGTAAATACATTGCTCCTTTGAGTTTGAGATATTGGTTACTAATGATCAGGAGATGAAAGGCTTTGGAACCCAATTACAGATTCTTTTCCTATCCAAATCTTTTACACATAATTTTTAAAATAATAAACTATATTTTCATGTATATTACAGAATCATGAAGGAAATATAAACTGAACAAGACACCTTAGCCAAACTGCTCATATATTTTATGAGTTTATTCACTGGTTTAGAATGAATTTGTTATATAGTCTTTGGGCATTCTTAAACTTACAGCCTAAAAGAGGAAATGATCTAAACATTAAAAATAAAATAAGAAAATAGTACACTTTTAAAGGATCTCAGCTTTGTAGTCAAGATTGTACATCTTCCTCTTTTGACTCAACCAGACCAGAATCTCCAATATTCTGAATAAGCAATATAATGTGATCAGAGTAATTGCAGGGGTACCATATGAAACATCTTAAAGGAAGTCTGGTCAAAGGAAGTTTTTTAATGCTATCGTCACTCTCCCCACTCTTTAAAACTTGATCCCGGTTGCTAGTATAATTTTTTAAAGCACATGAAAAATTTATAGTCAATAAAAATTTTTCAAAACCAAAACATGCTCAGTATTACTGTTAATGGTTTCTCCTTTCCTTCAGTTTATAGAATATTATTTTATTGGTTAAAATAGAGCATTGATTCCATGTGTTAAGCTCTTTGACTTTTCTCTTTCAATAATGGTTACTTTAAATAAGGCCAGCTATTTATCAATCTTCAAGTTTTGAAAAAGTGAATGATTACCTGTACAATGTTCTACATAAAGTGATATTTCAGATGGTAGTATGTATATTATGTTCTTATAAGATGCATGCTCTGATAAAAGAGATTCCTTAAAAAAGGTGATGATTAAACTTGGTGGTACAGTATTTTAATATTTTAATGAGTCAGCATGTTCCTTATGCTATAAAAAGCAATACATTTAATAGCTCTTTCAGTTATTTTATTATAATTTTGTAGTCTTGAGTTTAGCTGAAAAGAATTTGTGCCCAGATATAATTTTTCACTTTTGCATTCTAAATATAGATCGTATATGGGCACATTTAGCCAGTTATTGAATTTTTACATGACTTTTCATTTAGGGGCAATATAGTATTACCACTTTATACCAGATTACAAAGGAAAGCCTATTTCTAAAGGAATTTTGACTTTATGAAAGTATCAGTGTCTGGGAATTACATGAATGGGCTTCATTCTCCCTTTTAGGCATAAGTGGATGAGAACATGACGCTTCATATATGGAAGAAATGTCTCCTTCTGTGCATCTCCAACTCAGAGTTTTCTCGAAGAGAAAGAAGCATGACTTATCTCAATGAAGATATACAGATATTAAATGTATTTCTGTTACACTACTTAAATAAGCATGTATTCAATTTTTATTATAAACTTTTGGGTAAACATTTTATTAAGGATATTTTCAAACATGTATAAAAACAAAAAAAAAGAAAAAACAAACCTCCCCAACTAACGAACAATCAAAATCCAAAAATAAGAAAGCAAAAACCCCAAAACCCCCTCCCCCAAAATAATTGGAAAAAAAACCCAAAACGCAAGGGAATTCAACCAAAAAAAAAACAAGAAAAAACCGGAAAAAGGAAAGAACTTTAAAAAAATTTAATTTTAATTGATAAAAAAATTATATTTAATTATCATGTATATCATGCTGTTTTGGAAAAAAATATTTAAGTACACTAACATACCTAAAGTGTTTTAATTCCTTAATACCATTAAATATTTCATCAATTTGCAAAGTTACCTGTTTGTCCATAATATTTTAAAGAGTTTCTGTGAAACAACGTCCAAAATAACTTTGCATGTTACAATCAGTCAATATGTTTTCTTAAGTCTCATGGAAATTGTAGGGTCCCCTACCTTTCTCTATCTTTTTCCCCAGTGCAACTCATGTTCAAGAAACTAGAAATTTGGTCCATAGTTTCGACAGTCTAGAATAAACAAAGAGTTATTTAACATGTTTCACTGTCTAATGCATACCTTATAAACTGGTGGTTAGAAAAAAAATGAAAAGGGGGGAGGGGCAAGAAGACTGACTAGAGACATCAGTTGCCAGAGCATCCCGAAAAGAAGAAAAAGTTTCAGGTGAAAAAGTATAGCCCAGGTGAAATACTGATGGAAAGGTGCCAGAACCTACCCTTACCGGAAATCTCATGAGAAAAGGTTGTGGAGCAGAACAAGAAGGAGCCAAACACTGGCAGAGATTGACTCCCAAGGGATTAGGAGTCTCGCAGAGAGTGTAGGTGGCAATGTTGCTGTCAGCAAACTGAGAGCTTCTTTTGAGCAGAGCATTGGGCTGCAGGCCCATGCTGGGCTGCTGCTACCCAAGCTCAGACTATGGGCACCATATTGTTGGTGCACATGCTAGGTATCTCTGTTTTGCTGGGGAAGTCACAGTCCCTCAGTCCTACTGTCACTGGATCCCACACAAATATTCTCCAGCACCCACTGGGACTGTGACAACCACAAAGGAACAGGGAGACACAGGAGAGCAGCAATATTCCTGGAGTTCTGACATATAGGGTGTGCTGCCCCAGGGGGACTGGGAAGTGTCATAAACACTTTTTGGGACAGGGGAAGATGGAATGCCCACTCTCCTGCACCAAAGAGCCCCTGGCTCATGATCTGAAGTTGCCTGCACCTTTCCCAGTGGAGACACAAGTGCAGAGAGGAGTCCATAGAGTAAGACAATGTCCCCATCCAAGAGCAGAAAAAGCACTGGAGTCAAGAAAGGGATATAGAGACAGAGCCTCCCCCCTTTTCCAACCACCCAATGCTGTAGACATAATCACCTCTTCTGCCAAGCACAAGGTTTTGGTGCAAGTGAACTGCAAGCTGGCCAAGTCTAGGCTTGGCGGGGTGTCGGGGGGATATACCTCCAACAGCACTCTGCTCACTCTGCCTGGGTTCTGCATGGAGGGTACAGCTCACTGCTCTCCCTTCATGGACAGGCAGTATTTTTGCAGCTATCTCAATCCAGGACTCTCAGCCTCTGGGTCTCTACATCACTAGATTGACAGTCAATGCTCCTCAGCACTCACTCAGAAAATAGCAGCCTTGGGGGACCACTGTGTACCAAGGGAACTGCAGGTCTCCCAGAGCTCAGGTATTAAAGGTGGACAACTTCCAGGTGAGAAGAGACTGCATGCAGCATGACAGATGGCCCCATAGAAAAACAGGGACCAGGATACCAGCTCCCCACCATTTGGGGGCCTTCTCCTCCTCTTCCCCTCTTCTGCCTACTGCTGCTGCTGCCCCACCTCTGACTGAGTACCTATCAAACCCAGGCTTCCCTGGAGTTTGAGGGATCATTCTTTTCCTCTAAAAAGCTACAGCAAGCATTTTCCAGTGTCCCGAGGAAAAAGTCTCCACTGAGTTGGAGCTACCAATCCTCTCCCTGAGCTGCCTATCCAATCTGGAAAGAACCTAATATCCCTATAGGCAAATTCCTGGCACAACCACACCTTCCCCTCTGGAGCATTTCAACCACAGTTCACAGACAGTCTGGTAGCTCTGCACACAGCAAATTGACTTGCTTCCACCATGTCTGCTGTAGCTGGGCCAGGGCAGGAGCTGGGAATCTGGGCACTTTGATGGCCCCAAAGGACATAAACAACTGTCACTGCTGAGATAGGGAGATATGAGCAACTTGTGTGCCTCACAGATGCCTGCCTCTGCTAATCTTGTCAAGAGGGGATCATCCCTCCTATTGCAGCCTAACAGTGTATCTGACCTTCTCCTGCCTGAGCAATCTTCCAGAGCATTCTACCCCAAAACTGCAGGTTATACATTCTTCTCATCAGCCTACGAAACATTTTCCAAGGTAGACCACATGTTAGGCCACAAAAGAATTCTCAGCAAACTTAAAAAAATCAAAATCATATCATGTATCTTCTCAGACCACAGTGGAATAGAACTCCTCCGAGAGGAGGAGTTTGAAACTATACAAATACATGGAAACTATACAAATACATGGAAATTAAACAACCTGTTGCTGAATGAACTTTGGGTCAATGACAAAACCAAGATGGAATAAAAAAATTTGAATTGAATGATAATGGCAACACAAGCTACCAAAGTCTAGGATATAGAAAAAGCAGTTCTAAGAGGGAGGTTCATGGCATTAAATTCCTATCTCAAAAAACAGAAAAATCACAAATTAAAAACCTAATATCATACCTCAGGGAATTAGAAAAACAAGAATAAACCAAACCAAAACTAGTAGAAGACAAGAAACATATATATAACAAAGGTCAGAGCAGGACTAAATGAAATTGAAACCAAAAATATAATATGAAGGATCAATGAAACAAAAAGTTGGTTCTTTGAAAAGATAGACAAAATCCATAGACCACTAGCTCCCTTAACCAAGAAAAGAAGAAAGGGAATTAAAATAAGTTCAATCAGAAATGAAAAAGGAGATATTGCAAGTGACATCACAGAAATACAAATGATCATTCAAGACTACTGTGAACATCTTTATGTGCACAAACTAGAAAACCTAGAGAAAATAGATAAATTTTTGGAAACATACAAACTCCCAAGCTTATATTAGGAAGAAATATTAATAGAAATCCTGAACAGAAAAAGAATGACTAGTAAGATTGAATCAACTAAAAAAAAAAAAAAAAAAAACTCTCAGCAAAAAAAGCTCAGGACCAGATAGATTCACAGCTGAATTCTACCAAACCTACAAAGAACTGTTAATAATCCTAATAAAATTGTTCCATAACATTGAGAAGGAGAGAATCCTTCACAACTCATTCTACAAAGCTGGTATCAAAGCCAGGAAAGGACAGGAAAACAAGAAACTACAGACCAATGTACATAGTTGCAAAAATCATCAACAAAATGCTAGCAAATGAAATCCAACAGCACCTCAGAAAAATAAAATAATTCACCATGATCAAGTGAGTTTCATCCCAGGGATACAAGGATGTTTCAACATAAGCAAATTGATAAATGTAATTCATCATATAAACATAATTTAAAAAACAAAATGATATGATCATCTCAATAGATGCAGAAAAAGCATTCAATCTTTTCAACTTTACTACATTCAAATGATATCCAGCACCACTTTCTGATAAAACCCCTTAACAAACTAGGCATAGAAGGACCATACCTCAAAATCATAAAGACTATATATGCCAAAGTCACAACAACCATCACACTGAATGTAGTAAAGTTGAAAACATTCCTCCTCAGAATTGGAACAAGACCAGGTTCCCCCACTTTAACCATTTCTATTCAATATAGTACTGGAAGTCCTAGCCAGAGCAATCAGGAGAAAGAAAGGAAAGAAAGGAAAGAAAGGAAGAAAGAAAGAAAGAAAGGAAGAAAGGAAGAAAGGAAGAAAGGAAGAAAGGAAGAAAGGAAGAAAGGAAGAAGAGAAGGAAAGGAAAGGAAAGATAAAGAGAAGGAAAGAAAGAAAGAAGAAAGAAGAGAAAGGAAAGAAGAGAAAGGAAGAGGAGGGAGGAGGAGGGAAGAAGGAGGAAGGAAGGAAGGGAAGGAAGGAAGGAAGGGAAGAGGAAGGAAAGGAAGGAAGGAAGGAAGGAAGGAAGGAAGGAAGGAAGGAAGGAAGGATTCACATCAGAAAGGAGGAACTCAAATTATCCCTGTTTGCTGATGATATGATCTTATATCTAGCAAACCACAATGACTCCTCCAAAAGACTCGCAGAATTCATAAATAAATTCAGTAAAGTCACAGGTTCCAAAATTTATGTACACAAATAAGTGGCATTTCTGTATCCTATTAACAGCAAAGCTGAGAATCAAATCAAGAACTTAATACCATTTATACGAGCTGCAAAAAAATAAAATAAAATATCTAGGAATGTACTTAATCAAGTAGGGAAAGGTCTATACAAGGAGAACTAGAAAACACTGATGAAAGACGTTGGAGAGACAAATGGAAAAACTCCCCATGTTCATGGATCAGAAGGATCAGTATTGTTAAAATGTCCATAATTCCTGAAGTGATTTATAGATTCAATGAAATCCCCCTCAAAACACATGTCATTCTTCACAGAATCAGAAAAAAACAATCTTAAATTTTAGATGGAACCAAAAAAGAGCCCAAATACCCAAAGCAATCTTAAGTAAAATGAACAAATCTGGAAGCAGAACATTACCTGACTTCAAATTTTTCTTCAAGGTTATAGTAACCCAAATAGTATGGTACTGGTATAAAACAGACACACAGCTCAATGGAAGAGAATAGAGAACCCCAAAATAAATCCATACACCTACAATGAAGTGATCATCCACAAAGCAGATAAAAATCTACACTGAGAAAAGGAAACCCTATTCAATAAATTATGCTGGAAAAATTGGAA